TTAAAAACTAGACGACTATCGATCTAATAATTAATGACAACAATTATATTAACATATTAAGTATTTTATCGTATTTTCATATTAGGTATACATAATTTTTATACATCTTATATTATTTATATAWTTATATATGTACCTATAACGTAAAATAAATAACAAAAAATTTTCGGTTTGGCCAAAAATGAAATCGACCTTTTTAAATTTAATCGATAAATGAATTGACCGTCTCGCAGACTAAAGAAGTGAATGATTTTGGTAAAAAAATGTCTCGTCTATTATATTCAACATAATTATAATATATACCTGAATATATATTTTGTAATTTTTAAATTTTGTATAGATAATATACTTACGTTTTATTTATGGTGTTATTATGTCAGAATGTTCATAATTTTCATAGATAATATATTTTCAAGACCAATATGGAACTTAAGTGTGYAGATTCGCCGAAAAAATATTTACTAAATAGTTTAAGATACTATATAACGTTACCATCGAATATCTCTCTTAAGAGGACGTAAACACGGCCATTTAACGTCTCCGTCTTACAAGTGCATAACAAAGCAAAATATTTACACGTAGCAGATCACGTTTATAGACTCGTTAGTTTAAGTCGTTTAAGATATAATYGAGTGAATCGACCTATTTTGAAACTTGATGGTAAAAACATGATCTGTGTTTGTAAGTGACCAAGTTTGTATATATAAAATAGTTAAATTTTTGGCAAGTATAAACGGTGATCCATTAAACGCAAGACACTCATACTTCAATAAGTATAAACATTTTCCAAATTTTTATTATATCAAGATGTTATAATAATCTAACATTTTTCATAGCCCTTATTATTTCAACCCTAATTTTTGTGAGTTGAATCACCATCAAATTTTGATTTTTAAATGGCAATCTATGAATAATATGTTGGTAAGATATAGCCCCTCAAAGTTGGGTGTTTTTTGTATTTTTCATTTATAAAGACCAGGAGTTAACATATTTAATCCAAGTTAATATATAGGTACCTAACCATAGTAGGGATCTATAATAAATATTTATTTTCATACTAATAATAAATGAGAAGATAAGACGATAAGATGTTATATCCTATCCATGTATTTATATTATCTAATATAATTATATGTGTTGCCATTTACGAATCCAAAGTTTCTTCACATTTATCATAAAACAAAAAACGTGAACATTTTAAGAACATTAATTATATGTAGATTTCATTAAATTTCAACTTGTCTCCAAAAAAATTAAAAAGTTATAACTTTTCGAAATAGAGTCTTACGTTGAATGGATCACTCTGAAGGTATAAAATTTTAATATAATAAGCTATATATAATTATTTAGTGTAAATTAAAAATTCTCACAAAAACATAACTCACATAAGAACTGATTTATAGTAAAAAAGCCACATATCAACATTCAGATAATGTTCTTACCATCAAATTTCAACTGGTCGGTTTATCAAAATTTTTAATTAATGAAGCTAAATGTGATCTGCTAGACATAAATTTTCTATGATATGCACTTGTAAAAAGGATACAACAAATGCTTATCATGTTACGTACTCTTAAAAACATCACGAAGGTCGCTGAATATCGGCAAACATATTTCAAGTTTGTAGAACTTTTCATTGAATACATCATCACTGCAGTTATTGAAATTCTCAGCTCAAAATAAGAAAATATATTATTTTTTGATGTCAAATATTTTTATATTTATGATAAAAACTTAAGTTTATAAATGATTGTAATTTTCGCGTCCACTAGTGAAAAATACTGCACACACATATATATATATATATGCATTTTTTATCTAAAATTAATTATCTCCGGAGAAGTCAGCTACAATAGTAGAACTGCCTGCAGCTAGGTTGCTATTCGCCTTGTCGTCGACCACCACTAAGTCTTATTCTATCTCGGCGCCAGTAAAG